GGACACCAAACTTGCTCGATTGGAAGCTTTGTTGGGGATTACTGCGCCAGCAATGGTAATCCAAATCTAGAGCAAGATCAACCGTTTGAGCCTACCATTTAGATACAAGAGAAAAATCCAGAAGTTGATATCGAGAGTCAAGCAGATTAGCTACAAGATTATCATAGCACGACGACGTCAGCATTAATTAAAGAGAAGAAAGAAGATGTTCTTGTGGATGTGCCAGAATTGGGTGCACTTGAAGTTGATCAATTTGACGAGGAACAAGAATTCAATGGAGAGGATGAATGCATGAAAATTCTTGAAGATTCATCAATTGTTCCAGAATATGATCATACGGATTTCGTCATTGGAGATAATTTTTCTGAAGAGGAAGCTCGTATTGAAAATCGATGAGAACTTCAGAGCTACATGGAGGGTTTTCATCAAAATCGAGTCTTTACAATTTGTGGACGAATTATTCTTAAGAAGGGGGGAATAATAAAATCCTCACTACCAAGTCAATTCCGTTGGAAGACCAAGAATGTGGGGGCTGACCAGATATCAAGATTCTTTAAAGATTCTAGGTCGAATCTTCTTCAAGAGAGAGAGAATGATGCGATATCGACTAGAACGATATTCAAGTATATCTAATAGGTTTTTTTCTGATTCGTCAAAGACTCGAAGTATATCAAAGTATATCTAATAGGTGTGAAAGAATACGTACATTCATAATACGCTATTAGATATACTTTGATATACTTCGAGTCTTTGACGAATAAAAAAAATCTATTATTATTTTTAGCTCAAATGAATTTCATAGTTTGAGTTTAGAGAAGTAGAAGACTGAGGTTTACCCATAAGAGATTAGGATAGTATTATGAATGATTGTTTAGTTGTATAAATAAAAAAATATTTCGATTAACAACATATGCAACAAATGTATTTGCAAGTACACTTTAGAATATAAAAAATCGTGGTGCATCGTGGTAAAGATAATAAAATTTTAAAATAATGCGAAGCATAGTCAGCATAATTGATGAAGTAAATGTAACTAGGGGTGGCGATACGGTCCGGTCTGGTTAAATTGGCCCGAATTGATCCGGTCCAGTCCGGTCTTTTTGAAAATATGGGGATTGGGTACATATACCGTTTTCCTGGAATGGGTACAGTCCGGTTTTGACCCGGTCCGGTCCCAATCCGGTTTTGACCTATTTTGACCATGTTGCAGAAAATTCAGTAGCATATACCCATTTTCCTGGAATGTAGACAACCTGTTTGTAGCAAAAATCCGGCCAAATAATTAAAATACCACTTACCCAACTGCTGCTCCCTTCCATTTTTCTGAGTTCGTCGGAGCAGAGGCGGGCTGCGGGCGCCGGGTGCGGGCGGCGACTGCAGCGGTTCGGGCTGGCGGCGGGCTGCGGACGATGGACGAGAGACTGCGGCGGGCTGCGGCTGTTCGGTTCGGGACGACTGCCGACTGGACGTGGACGAGAGACTGAGAGAGGCGCCTTCTGCGACTGCAAGTCTCCACTCTCCAACCCTAAACAAAAACAAAAGCCAATTAGTCATTATGGGCCGGCGGGCTGCAGGGGGAGTGGGCTTGTTTGGGCCCCTTATGGGCTTTGCCTTTGGGTCCTGGTTTGATCTGTTTTTAATCATCCGGTCTTCCGGTTTTTACACGGTTTTGACCTGGACTGGATTGGTCCGGGTTTTTTTTTGCTGATTATGAGACCAAAGACGGGATTGGATTGTTTTACATTCGGTCTCGATCTTAAAACGGTCCGAGTTTTACGGTCCGGTTTCCGGTTTTTAATCCGGTCCCGGTCCAAATTGCCAGCCCTAAATGTAACAGCACAGTTAAATTCCCAAATAGGAATATGGTTGTAAGACATAGCAGGTTTTTATTTTAATTATGTTTCTGTTACTTTTTTATTTCGCCGTTAGTGTTTCTAATTGAGTGAAACTTTCGTTAGGCTTTTAATAGTTGAATCGCTATTCGTCGCCCTAAAATTCAAATTTTATCGCCCTAAAATGCATTAAATTTACACTCTTATCCCTAATCCCAAATTCAACAATTTGTCATCACTCTAACGTTGCCAGGAGAGCCAAGCCAATCAAAACAAAGCCATCAATTATCAAGAAGCAGAGGTAATGTCCTCAAAAAGCTTCGGCAAAATGATTTGAACCAATCAATCAAGCAGATAACCAAATAAATAATAGGGAACTCCACCAAATGGAGAGAGGTGCCGGCTGAGCAGGATAATGGCCGGTGACGGTGGGAGATCTAAAGCCGGCGAGGGGAAGTGCCCGGCAGTGCTAATAGGAAGAAGCAGTAGAGAATACGATTTATGTAATTAAGGGTATTAGTGTAAATTTAACTTAATTAGGGCGATGAATAATAAATTTTAGGGCGACGAATAGCAATGCCCGTTGCCGGGCGGGTCAGATCCGGTCCTTAAGCTTCCTTTCTTAAGGAGGATCTTAAGCCCATTCCAGCCAATAAGAAAAGGAGAGAGATAATCATTATTAATCATTGGATAACTACCTATAAGGACATGAATGGAATATATTAAAAATTAATGATATTAATAATGAAAATGGAAATTAAAACCCTATCTCGTTTCCTCAAACCGCTGCTCTCTCTCTCGTCAAAAATTCGGCGGTCGTTGACTCCTCTCTCTATCATCGTTTCCGCCGGTCGTTCACCTCCGCTCCCTCCCACCAGCCCAGCCCTATTACGCCGCCGTCACATAAAGCCGTCGTTGCAAGCGATCGTCGACCCAAGCCATTGACTGAAGGCGACTGGGAGGAATCATCTTCCGTGAGGCGGCTCCGGAAATGAAGGATCGGAGATCCACCATTTGCTTAATACATTATTAACGTCCTTTTCCATTGTTAATATTTTCTATGTAACCTATCGTTTCTATGTAACCTATCAACGATTGCAAGGATTGCAGGGCTATTAATAATAATTGATCATTAAGGATTTTGTAATCAGTTTGTAATTTTTAATTGTCACCTTATTAATATTTTTATAAGTATTATTAACTTTTTTGCTCAATGATTCGCATAACTAATGTGTTTGTTACCAATGCTCTGTTAGTTACGTTTTGTTATAGGTTATTAGTTTCATAAAGTTTATTCCCTTTCATAACATTATTAATAGGTCTATGATTGAATGTTAATAATAGTATATAAGAGTATTATAAGAAGCAAAAAGAAAGTGTTAAATACAATTCTGATGATCGTACAACTTAATTAATGATATGTTGTATAGGTTGATAATAGTATATTATTTGATTAATAGGAGGTTTAAAAAGCGTTAATAGTCTAAATGTTATTGTTAAAATATGTTAATAGTATAAAATCTGAAGTTGAAAAAAGACGATTTTTTGTTAATATCGTGACCCTTAATGAACACCTTCTATTGATATGTTGTATAGGTTGATAAAAGTATAGTATATTATTAATAGGAGGTTTAGAAAGAAGAGTTTTTATTAACAAAAAATTGTTTCAATTATTAACTTTTTGCGGGAGATTATGAACCTTACATTATATGTTCGTTAATCTTGACAATGTTCATTATTAACATTGGAAAACGGTGGTAATGTTTTTGTATATCGTTGATAACGTCATTCAAGGTAATGTTATCAACTTTTATAATATGATCTATCAACAAACTGTTAATAATTGAAACAATTTTTGTTAATAATGTTATTGAATTGCAATCATAAGTCAAACAAAAAATATAATAATAAAAGATCTTATGGGTATGTATATTAGCCATTTTTGTCATTTTTATTAACAAAATACATCAAAGAATGATAATCATCTTTGATATGTTAACAACATTATGATTGGTTCCGTATTGTAACGTTGAAAATGACAACCATACAACATTAACGCGAAATATAACTTTGTTCATCATTCGCGGAAAATCATTAAAATTCTTTTTAATTTCATCAATGATTACATATTAAAACATTAATAATAAAGTTTTCGTTAATAATGGCATACTAGAAGATTGTCACTAGAGTAAAAACATTGCAAACATATACGTTAACAAAACCTCCAAAATTATTACTACTTTCGCATTACAACGTTGATAATCACAACCACTCATTATCCACACCAAATTACTAATAACCACGTTGTCATTATTATTAATGAAATACTGTCACTTTTCAAAGAGAGTCTAAGAGAATGATGACGGGCAGGTGTGTTAGCGGGATGGCGGCGGCGCAAAAAGCTGTGTCGTCGGGATGCCGGAGATGCTAGAACTGTAGCGGCATGATGATGGCGGGATGTCGAAGGTTCTAACGGCGGGACGAAGCTGCTGCCGTGAGGAGAGCGATTGATGGAGTGGCTGCCGGAGAAGGGACGACCGGACGGAGAACTCGGACGATCGGATGGTTCGCCCGCTTGCGGAAGGATGAAGAAACATACAGCGGGAAGGCTCGGATTGCGGGAGGGAAAAGAAAGAGACGTGGGTTAGGGTTGGTAAAAGAAAGAGACGTCGGTTTTTAATTTAATTGTAGTCTCCTTAATACCCCTAACAACTATTTAACTAATAACTCCTCACTAACTACCTAAAATTGAGTTAGCCAATCACAAGGTTTTAAGATCCCCCTTAAAAAAGAGGTCTTAAGGACCTGAACTTAGGCCGTTGCCGGGTGGATAGGCTGCAGGCTATCCCTACAAACTAGTTTGCACGTAAATATCGTCCTTTCGAGAAAAAAAAACGCAAGAGCGGAGTAAATCCATGTAAGAGAAGGCTTTTGAATTAATGATTGAAGGCCAAGCCCGCTGAAAACAGAGGCCCAATCTAAGTCCAACTGCATCCATGAATCCATCGATGTTACTATAAAACAAATTGCGTCGCTTGCCGCCTAAGGGTAGGTCACAGATCTGAAGAACAGATCCAGACCGAAAATTCTCGAAAACCAGCGGCCCTCGCGGACGAACTCAATATTCTGCTGCTGCGGTTGCTGATAGGGTCTAGAGTTGGGGTTAGGATGTCTGTGGATTCTTTGGTATGCGTCCACACCAAGGAAGAAGGATCGAGAGTTGGGTTCCCTGAGTTTAAGCGGAGTCGTATAGACGAGGTGTGCTCAGCTACTGACGATGTAGGTGATGATGCTCCATCGAGGTACAAGTTGGCGATCAGGCGGAAACCGAAGCAGGAGCATTGGTGGGATTTTGGGATGGTGTTCTCTTCGATAAGTACTGAAGAAGTGACGGTGGATCTGATGAATATCGAGGAGTGTCTAATCGATAGAAGGGTCGCGACCTTGCACGAAAGCATGGGTATAGGTATGAGTTTCGCATTGGTAGGTTTGAAACTGTATGGTTTTGGTAATTTCCCTAATATGGAATGGGAACCTGAATCTGTAGAATCTTTGTCTGTGATCTCTGTTAAGGAAGACCGGGTCTTATGCCATTTCCTCCATCTTCTCCACTCTGTTATTCTGTTCCTGAATTTGCTCCAACTACTAGAACTACTTCTCCTGTAACTTTACTGTATAAATAGGCTATTGATTGATCAATAAACACACAGAGAATTACAAGCTCATACATGGTATCAGAGCTTCACAGCCCAACGGCAAATTAAGTTTTTTTTCCCCTATCATTCTCGATTCCTTCCCTTTGTCTCCTGCACAATGTCGACCTCTTCTTCATCCTCGTCTGAAACTACAGGCCCTACTCCTGCTTCTACTCCCTCTTTCTCCCCTTTCAATCCTCCCTCGGCCCCTCATATCTCCACCAAACTCACCTCCACAAACTACCTTCTTTGGCAGATGCAGCTCCTTCCCCTTCTTACCAGCTTCGACCTCTCTAAATTCGTCGACGGCAGCTCTCCGGCACCGCCTCGCACTCTCGCCGACGGTCAATCCAACCCTGCCTATATTGCTTGGCGCCGTCTTGACCAGCTAGTGTTCTCCTGGATCGCTGGTTCCCTATCCGACTCTATCCTCTCCTGGCTGGTTGGTTGTTCAACGGCCCTTGAAGCCTGGACACGACTCGCCTCCACCTACGGCTCCGGCAATCGCCAAACCTTGCGCGGCCTGCGCACGCAGCTCGAAGAACTCTCTCGTGGTTCTGATTCTTGTGCTCAATATCTGGCTCGTGCTCAAGATCTTGCTGATCGTCTTGCTGCCCTCAATAGCCCGATCTCCGACGATGAATTAGTCGATCGATGCCTTCGTGGTCTCGGCGACGACTTCCTCCCCTTTGTTCGCGCCATTGAAACCAAGCTGGAGCCCATCACGTTTGACGACTTTCACGGCCTCCTCCTCCATGAAGAGCATCGCCTACGCCGTCGTGGCCCTTCCTCTGATTTTGGCGCCGCTCAGGCCAATTTCAGCCGCTATGGTGGACGCGGCGGCCATCCGACATACGGCGGTCGTGGACGCGGTCGCTTCCCCAGCCGCGGACGTGGATCCCGATCAAGCGGCAGTGGTCGCTCACCTAACCCCTCTATTCTGCCTTCTTCTTTTGCAGGGCCAGGCTATGGTGCAGGGCTTCTTGGGCCCAGGCCCATTCACCCCTCCCAGGCTCCTCCCAGCGGCCTGCTCCAATGTTTCACATGCCATGGATATGGCCACTTAGCCAAACACTGCCCCAATCCCTCCCTCACGTCCCGTTTTCCGCCCTCCTCCAATTATGCATCCTCCTCCACCTCTCAAGACTGGATAATGGATTCCGGGTCTAACTATCACATCACCTCCGATCTCAACAATCTCGCCCTTCACTCCGAATATAATGGGCCCGACGAGGTATCCTTTGGCAATGGTAATTCTCTCCCCATCTCTCATTCTGGTTCCTCCCTTGCCTCCATTAATCATCATCCTTTCAATCTTACCAATATTCTCCATGTTCCCTCTGCATCTCACAATCTACTTTCTATCAACTCTCTCACTCGTACTAATCCACTTTCTATCCATTTTGTTAATGATTCTTTTATCATCAAGGACTCCCACTCCCAGAAAATCCTCCATCAGGGTCGCAGTAAAGATGGATTGTACTCGGTGCCACTCTCCATTCTCTCTCAAGTTGCTCCGCGTGCCTTTCATTCCACTCTCTCCCACTGGCATCAACGTCTTGGTCACCCTCACTCCCGTGTTCTACGTCAAGTCCTCCACCGCCATTCTCTGCCTGTTTCCAATAAACAAGAGGTTCATTTGTGTCATGGTTGTAGTGTTGCCAAAATTCACAAGCTTCCCTTTACTCCTTCGACTTTCACTGCCTCTGGTCCTCTTGATTTAATTTGTAGCGATGTCTGGGGCCCTGCCCCTGAACTCTCTGTCGATGGTCATCTTTATTATATTTTATTCTACGATCATTTTAGTAAATTCACGTGGATCTTTCCCACTCGACATCGCTCCAATCTTCTCTCTATATTTATCACATTTCGCACACATGTGGAAAAATTCTTTGATCGCCCCATAAAAATTTTTCAAGCCGACTGGGGTGGCGAGTACCAGAAATTAGGCTCTTATCTCAAAGAACATGGCATCCTTCACCGCTCCTCTTGTCCTTACACTCCCGAACAAAATGGTTGCGCCGAACGCAAACATCGACACATTGTCGAAACCGGTTTGGCTCTTCTTCACCATGCCTCGGTCCCCCTCAAATTCTGGTCATATGCTTTCGACACTGCCACTTTTCTCATCAATCGTATGCCCACCCCCCTCCTTGCTGATCGTTCTCCCCTTGAAATTCTCTATTCACAACAACCCGATTACTCAAGTCTTCTTATTTTTGGAACTCTCTGCTACCCTTGGCTTCGCCCAACTACTCGTCACAAGCTTCAACCTCGTTCTGCCCCGTGTGTTTTCCTTGGCTACAGTTCCACGCACAAGGGCTATCGTTGTTACAATCTTGCGACCAACAAAGTTCACATTTCTCGCCACGTTCTCTTTGATGAAAATTGCTTTCCTTTCTCTGACCCCAAATACTTTCCGGCCACCCCTACCTCGTCGGTTCCCATCAGCTCGTCGGTACCCACAATTCTTCCTCTCCCCACCGATCTGTTCTCCTTTCCCCACTCACCAAATTTCCCTTCGTCAAAATCTACACACCCTCTGTCTCTTCAACCGACCCAGCCCCATACCCCTTCAGCCCGGCCCACAACCAATTCCCCTCACCCCTCTCCCACCCTACCGCCAGCCCGGCCCATTCTTCCCCTTCCCCAACCCACCAACCCTAATCCCCTAGTACAGCCCACGCGCGCGTCCCCTACCCCCCAGCCCATCGTTCCCCTACCCACCACAACAAAGCCCCGCAGTCATCGTCCTCGTCCCCTAGTCCCCGCCGTCCCACCTCCCTCTTCCCGACCAACCCCTTCTTCCCAGACCCGTCGCCGCACCTCCCAACCACCGACTCATCCGCCACCGTCCCATCATATGAGAACCCGAGGCCAAACCGGCCACCTCAAGCCCAAAACTTTTCTTTCCTCCTCCCACCCTCTACCCGCCATTCCCAAAAACGCCTGAGAAGCTCTGCAAAATCCCCATTGGCGCGCCGCAATGCTTGAGGAGTACAATGCCCTGCTCCGAAATCACACCTGGCTCCTGGTTCCCCCTGCCTCTGATCAGAATCTCATCTCTTGCAAATGGATCTTTCGTATCAAGACTCGGCCTGACGGCTCAATCGAGCGGTACAAAGCCCGCCTAGTAGCTCGTGGTTTCCAGCAGCGCCCCGGCATCGACTACGGCGAGACATTCAGTCCCGTTCTCAAACCCACGACTCTCAGGCTCATTCTCTCACTCGCGGTGTCACAACATTGGCCGGTACGCCAATTGGACATCGCCAATGCTTTCCTTCATGGCAGTCTCTCCGAACCAGTGTATATGCAACAGCCGCCCGGCTTTGTCGACCCAGCTCGACCAGAGCACGTCTGCCATCTCCGGAAGTCGCTCTACGGCCTCAAACAGGCGCCGAGAGCCTGGTTCCACTGTCTACGTCAGGCCCTGGAGTCCTATGGGTTCAAAGGGTCTCAAACTGATCCCTCTTTGTTCATCCTCCGCCGCAGCGTCACTCGTCTGTATGTCCTCGTTTATGTGGACGACATTCTGCTAACCGGGAATCAAGCCTCTGCCTTGGATTCTCTTCTGGTGTTTTTGCAGGGGCAGTTTGCTGTTCGGGATCTGGGTCGGCTGAACTACTTCCTCGGCGTCCAAGCCCATTGGACTGCGACGGGTCTGCTGCTCACGCAACAAAAATACATTGATGCTATTCTTGATCGAGCCAAGATGAGTAACGCCAAGTCCATATCAACACCAGCTGCCCCGGCTACAAAGGACCCCGACACAACTCCCTTCGAAGACCCTTCATTATATCGCCAGATCGTCGGCGCCCTCCAATATCTCCAGTTCACTCGCCCAGACATCTCACAAGCTGTCAACTTCTCCGCGCAACATATGCACAATCCATTGCAGCACCACTGGTCAGAAGTCAAGCGGATCCTCCGTTACCTCACCGGTACTTCTACTCATGGCCTCTTCTTCAGCAACACCTCTCCCTTGCTTCTCTCCGGTTACTCTGACGCGGCATGGGCAAACTCTGTTACTGATCGTCGATCGACAACCGGATATGCTGTCTACCTCGGCTGTAATCTCATCTCCTGGTCATCCCGCAAACAGCGCACAGTTGCACGCTCATCCACCGAGGCGGAGTACAAGGCCTTAGCCACTCTCGCAGCAGAAATTGTTTGGATTGAGTCTCTTCTCACTGAGATCGGTCAGCCACTTTCCTCGCCTCCCAAGCTCTGGTGTGACAATCTCGGTGCAACATACCTCACCGCCAATCCCGTCTTCCACACACGCAGCAAGCACATGGAAGTAGACTTCCACTTCGTTCGTGAACGGGTAGCTGCTGGACGCTTGCTTGTTCGTTATATTTCTACTGAAGATCAGATTGCGGATCTCCTCACAAAGCCACTACCCCGTACCCGCTTTCTCCACTTTCGGGACAAGTTGAAGGTTCTCCACCATCAACTTGCGGGGGCGTGTTAAGGAAGACCGGGTCTTATGCCATTTCCTCCATCTTCTCCACTCTGTTATTCTGTTCCTGAATTTGCTCCAACTACTAGAACTACTTCTCCTGTAACTTTACTGTATAAATAGGCTATTGATTGATCAATAAACACACAGAGAATTACAAGCTCATACAATCTCAACGACAGGAGCTATCCCTACGAATTTTGCAAGGCAGGTCAGCTGAATGGACCTAAGATATGTCCTATTGTTATTCCTTTCCCGGAAACAAAGCAGATTTTAATCATCGCAACTGGTCGTTTTCGATGTGGAGATGGTCGAGAGCTACCCGTAAAGGGTACGTATTGTGAGCTTTTAGATCTCCCATCGGAAGACAACGGAGGCCTGTATAAATGTAAAGCTATATCTACCCCTTGGGACGACACCTATGGTTCTGTTTACCTTGGTACTCCTGATTCCAAGGCTCATGCTGTGGTAGGGAACCTTCTCTATATCCAGATTATTGCTGGCGAATGGAATTTTGAGCAACGTCTGTTCTGTTTCGACATGAAGACCCATAAGTGGTCCGAAGTAGAAGCACGTGCACAATGTCCTTTTCTACAGCCCCTTGATGGATTCTGGAGATCTTTGAATGATATTTCCAGGGACAAATTGTTTGTAGCGCATGTTGATAGATCTGATTCCGAGTTAACGCTCTTCGTTGGGGTTACGAGTTTGGCGGATTTGAGTAAGAAGACTTGCCATGGAAAACTAGATCATCGTGAGCATCTCAAAAGGATTGTCACAGCTCTGCCAACGCTAGAAAAACTTCTGACTGATAAATACTCGGAGTATATTAGAGGTGCGGGGTGGGTGATGCCTTTGTTGCCTGATGATGACAACTCGTTCTGTCTCTTTCTGTGGTTAGAAGGTTCTAGTATAGCTGAGCACCTCGTGGCCTTCAAGTTTAAGTTGTGGGAAGGCCAGCAGCAGAACACTGATGTTGCTGCCATGGACGCTGACAATGATATTGGTACCCCTCGCGAATCAAGCTATGACTGTGAGATCTTGTCGCATACACTATATGCAGACCCTTTCTTACTGGATCGTAATCCATTGTATGCCTTTACTCAGTGGCGGACCCAGAAATTTTTCATAGGGGTGTCCTCTTTTAAAAAATAAATTAAATAAAAATAAAAATAATTGATAAAAATAAAATTATAAATAAGAAAATACCTTACTCGTATAGGTTAAAAAAGTCCATGATATGTTTTCATATTTGGAAATAATTGTAGAATACACTTGGTGTCTATAGTGTTAAAAAAAATTATCTCTATATACACTGCTAGCTAGACAATCATTCACGAACTTATCGCATATTCGATTTGTAAACTTGTTCTTGATGTAACCAAAAGCTGAAAGACTCTTTCAACACTTGCCGTACAATCATAAAATCAATACAAATTAAGGGTAGTTTGAAATTAGTTTAATTGTTAGGTTTTTAAAATAATTAGAGATAGAGAATGCCATTTTACTATTACACATTGTTCAAAATCAAACAACAAATGAGTTTAGCTCAACAGAAATTAAGTTTATTAATAATAATAGTGTTCTAGATTTGAATTATCCAACCTACCACTTATATTCTTATACACAAATGACAGTAGGATAATCATTTTTAAAATTTAAGGGGTGTCCCTCATTATTAATTATATTTTTTTTGTCCATACATAAATTACCACCGAAGGTTGGATAATCGTTTTCCCAAAATTTAGGGGTGTCCGGGGACACCCCTAAACCTCCCTGGGTCCGCCCCTGCCTTTACTCCTGCTGCCAACTACCGTAAGTTCCTTTCTTCTTCCTGTTCTTACACTTGTTATTGCATCTACATGTCTGCCTGTGTATGCTTTTCTCATTATCATCCTTTTAACAACTCACTGCTCAATGATTGTCTCATCCTGTAATCAGCTGTGCAATCTCTGTAGACTTGTTGATATGGACTTCCAGGGAAAAAATCCCAAAATACTCTACCTATTAAAAAAAATTCCTCAAATACAATACTTATAAACTTTTTTCCCAAAATACAGCAGTTTCACAATCACTGTCTTTGTCCAAGACAGTGATAACAATCATCGCTTTGATTAAAAAGGGGGAAGGTATCACCGCTTTTGAGAACAGCGGGGATAACATCACCGCTTTGAATCACAACAGTGATTGCTTCACCGCCTCGGACCACGACAGTGATTGCTTCACCGCCTCGGACCACAACAGTGATCGCATCCCCGCCTTTCACAACGACGGTGATAATCGATCTCTTCACCGCGTTTATGTGAAACGGTGATAGCATCGCGGTGGAGAAAAGCGGGGATAATTGACCACGTTTTTCTACCCTGGTAGGTGGAAAAATTAGGTCACAGCGACCTAGCTATCACCGCTTTGGACAACAGCGATGATGTGTTCACCGCCAAAGTCCAAAGCGGTGATTAGCAGCCATTTTTTCCTATAAATACCAAAGCCCACTCCCTTCCTGCTGCTGCCTTACAGCAACCAAATACAACAAACCCTTTTTTTTAGTCGGTTTCTCAGCTGGTTTGGAGTTGGTTTACTGCTCAAGAAACTCGTCGGGATTCGGTATGTTAGAATTACGTATTGTTTACATTAATTTGTTTATATATATAGATTAATTATGATATGATAGATGTTAGTTAGTTAGTACTGAATTTAGATTAATTTGTTTAGTTTTCTCATGATAGATCGGGATTGAGTATGTTATAAGTATGTATTTTTTACATGTTGAGCTGTTAGTATGAATATGTCTGTATTTAGTGAATCGCAGTTATTGGAAAATATGTTATGATATATTTAGATTAATTATGATATGATAGATGTTAGTTAGTTAGTACTGAATTAGATTAATTTGTTTAGTTTTCTCATAATAGATCAATTAGTTGCATTTTATTATGGGTTTGTTTTGTTTTTGTATCCATAATGTACTAATTGTATACTAATACTTAATTATTATAAATTGCAGACATGGGTAAATTTAAGAAGTTTCGGCTTATTATTCGGTGGAATGGTCGGGTGACAAACTCGAACATGGGGATCGACTATGAAGATGGCGAATCCAGTACGCTTACAATTGAGTCGAGGCCCTCGTGGCAAGAACTCCATGACAGGTGTGCAGAAAGGACTTGTACGGGCGGGCAAATGAGAGTTCGTCAAATTACTTACCGGTATCCCAACATGAGTGCTGACGGAGTCATGTACGAAAAAGTTGACATAAATGATGATGACGACGCGAACATGATGACACATTTCATATCTGAGAACGGCGTGCGGCTTGCAGAGGTGTATGTCGAGACCGAGCCGGTCGGTGAAACTCATTCTCACCAGTATTCTTATGATGATGGTTTTGCAGGAGGGTATGGCTGGGGTGGTAGTTCAAGTAACTACGGAGCAGGTTCTTCTGCCGGAGGGTATGGTTGGGGAGGTACTTCAAGCAACTACGGAGGAGGTAGTTCTGATGGAGGTGTTGGGTGGGAAGAATACCTGCCACATGGTGGTGAGACTGCCGTCGATATCGTTCAGCCCGACGGTGATCAATGGCCTGCTTGGGGTCCAGAGTGGGGTGACATTGAAAACACCCTTCGAACTGGGCGTCCTTCGCATGACCAAGAAGGCGATGCTGGTTATGCTGCTAACGATGACCATCCTTCGCCGACCTATCCATTCGCCTCCAGTGACGATGAAAGTGAGGAAGATTTGAGATCAGTCAGTGAGGAGGAAGATACGGACGATAACGACGATATCGATGACAGTGAGGTGGCGTTCCGATAGGCACCAACGCCTTACTACACAGAGGTTCCTGATCAATTTTTATATGGTCAGAACGATGCCCCTGACTTTCGGCCCATGCCTGTGTATAATCCGACTGCTAATTTGGAAGTGGGTATGGCGTTCACTTCGAAAGCCGATGTGCAAGACGCTTTTAGCGAAGAAGCCATGCGGCGTAATTTCGAATGGAAGGTAAAATATTCTGACAAGGGACAACTGCATGTCATTTGTAAGAATGCTGGAGAGGGTTGTATGTGGCAACTTCGTGCTGCATATATGAAGAGAAAGGGGGTCTGGGTCATGCGGACAGTAGAGAACAACCACAGTTGCTCCTCAACCATACTTTCACAGGATCACCGGCAACTGAAAGCAAAAAAAGTGGCAAGAACCATTAAGCACCTTATCGAGGCACAACCAGATATCAAGATAAAAGCTATCATGGCGGAGGTGAAGGATCGACACTCCTACACCATAAGGTATAAGAAGGCGTGGCATGGGAAGCAGAAGGCCATGGCTGATGTCTACGGTGATTGGGATGACTCGTATGCTTTACTCCCCAGACTAATGTCCGCAATGGAGGAGTCCAACCCTGGGACGGTTTTCGTGCCTTGGTACAACAACGTAGAAACTGAAGATCAAGTTCGAGTACAGAACGAGTTGATGTTTCATCGTCTGTTCTGGACATTCAAGCCATGCATTGACGGGTTTCCCTTCTGCATGCCAGTGATTCAGGTATATTACGGACTCAAAATATTGTACTATTTCATTACTTTACTAATTTCAATTTTTATTAACTCATTATTCATTTTAACAGGTTGATGGAACTTTCCTTACTGGGAAGTATAAAGGAACTCTTCTCATTGCCACTGGGGTTGATGGAAATTTAAGTATTTTTCCCTTAGCATTTGCATTAGTTGAAGGGGAGAACAACCTAAGTTGGGCATGGTTCTTTGACCAGCTACACGCCCACGTCACACAAAGAATGGGTATTACAATTATATCGGATCGACATGCCGGGATTAAACACGCCGTCCGTGGTTTCCCGGACGAATGGGGATGGACATGGCGTTGGTGTATTCGTCACTTCCTAGCCAATTTCCAACACAAATTTGGCAAGAAGAAAGACATAAGAGATCAATTGTGGAGTGCAGGTAATAATGTAATTCAGTGCTTGTTCATGGTTTATTGTTCAAATGAAATTTCTTATGGATTAATTATTAATTATCCGGTCTTGTAGCGGTTGCACATCAACCAAAAAAGTACGAGCAGAAGATGAAGACGATCCGTCAAATACACCGGGCGGGAGCAGTATGGGCAGAAGGTCAAGATCTGCACATGTGGACATTTCACATGGACAACGGGGCTAGATTCGGAATTGCAACTACCAACCATGGGGAGAGCATAAATGGAGTCTACAAGGGCATTAGGGCAATGCCTGTATCTGTCCTAGTGGAGATGACATATTGGAAGGTAAACGAGTGGTTTGTGAAGAGACGGGATGCTGCTATAGGGAGGGAGCGTGCTGGTCATTCAATAGCTAAGCATATATTTGATGGCATGCAGAAGATCGAAGAGAAATCAAGTAAGCACAGAGTTGTCCTGTTCAACCGCAATGAAGGTATTTTTGCTGTGCAAACAGGTATCTGGGGTGGAGGAAGACGTGGGCATAATCGTCAATCCGTTACTCTACACGTAGAAACTCGCACCGGAGAGTGTACGTGCCAAAAGTATCAAAACAGAAGAGTACCTTGTTCACATGCAATGGCAGTAGCTAAGTCGATAACCCTCAGCGCTTACAGTTTGGTTAGTCCTTACTACACGGAACAGGCGATCAGGAACTCCTACTCGTCAAGTTTTAGCCCCCTGCCGGATGAAGCTTATTGGCCTGTAGACAATGGGAAGTTGATTATCCCACCGTTACACTTAAAGCGCACCAAAGGTCGTCCTAGGACCGAAAGGATTCACAATGAAATGGACCAATCACAACGTGCCCGACGGGGTCCAAAGCGTTGCTCAAAGTGCAGACAACCGGGTCATGACAAGAGGCGTTGCCCAGGTCCACCTATAGAGCAAGATTCGGCGCCAATTCCGAACCAATATTGATGTTGTTGTTGTTCACTTCCTTGTTTTAATCTTGTTGAGTAGTTTTCGTTGTTGTGATGTTTAATTTGGACTTCTTGTTTTAATCTTGTTGAGTGATTGTAATAAAGGGCGTTTGTTGTTCATTTTGTTTCAACATGGGGGTAAAAACCAACCAAATTTAGCCGACATAGATAGTTAATGGAAAACAACACAATTCGATTGCCAAATTTAGAAACATAGATAGTTCATGGAAAACAACACAAGACCCAAACCAAATTTAGACGACATGGATAGTTCATGGAAAACAAAAAAAGATGAAACTAAATTAGAACGACATAGATAGTTCACTGGTTGTCTTCATTTCCCTCCACTTCCCCTTCTCTTCCTCTTCCTCTTCCTCCACGACCTCCTCGGCCCCTTCTTCCTCCCTCTCTACCTCCTCCTCCTTCTTCACGAGCCCGCTGGACAACTGCGCGCGGATTCCTCTTAACCCGACCACCCACCGGAGTGTAGACAGGTGGTGGGGGGGGAGGTTGCTGAGATGGACCAGAAGCGTGGTAGAAAGTCGATGATGTATGTTGTTGTTGCGGGGTCTGATACTGAGTAGTTTGTTGCTGATGGTGGAACTGAGGGGTGGCTTGGGTGAACATGTCATGCTCCTGAGTCGGGGCATAGCTTGACGACCCTCCGGTTCCCTCAGTACTAGTAGCCCACTCACAATGTGGCCATGGTTGAGGAAGTTGAGTTTTCTGAGACGGACGAAGCTCTTCAATGTGTTCTCTCACCCTTCTTCTGCTCCTCCGTGGGGGCTCTTGTGGGGGCACAATCCTCTCATCAGCACGGAATGAAGGTCGGGCCGGAGCAGGCACTGGAGGGTATAATATGACATCCCTCCTTTGCTCTCGCTCTCTGGTACAACAGAGCAAGTTGTTGAAAAGCCTGCGCAAAAAAGATGTCTTCCGCTCATCCATGGTGGGTGCACTCTCGACGGTGTGCTTCGCATGCTCCAAACCGTCAACCTAATAAATTGTTGTACAAAATTAACTAATAGTAAATATAATAATGATTTCTATCATCTAATATAGGCATGTAATCATACTACAAAAATTAACTAACATTAAATCTAATAATGTTAATTAACATTCTAACTAATATAGGCATGTAATCATACACCAAAAATTAACTAACATTAAATCTAATATAGATAATTAACATTCTAGCTAATATAGGCATGTAATCATACTACAAAAATTAACTAAAATAGGCCAAAATGGAATTCACTTACCACTGCGCCCCAAACAGCACCTTGCTTTGACACCCATCTTAGCGTGAAGTTCCGATACCACCGCATGTAGCCATCGTGGTACCCCATTGGCCTTGTCTCCGGCGCCCCTTGGACCACCCACTGATTTCTATTCTCCCATATGTTGATGTAGAATTCATGCTTGCGGGTCCAATCCTTTTTGTTGTAGCGTAGGTCAATGGCGTGGAGCTCCCTGAACCCTTGAGGTGGGGATGCTGGAATTGGTTGCTCCAATCGATATTGCCTCAAAGATCGATCGGGCAGGTGCCACTCCACCATGTGCCAGCAGATTAAGGGCACCTTGCACAACCATGTCTCTTGATCCTCGGGATGTCTAAGACGATGCAACTCAACCACTTCATTTGGATATGGATCCCATACCGCCTACAATCATTAAAATTCATGGAATTAGTAAAAATTATATCCACTCCACCTAATAAATTGAAAATCATGACATTCAATATTTTTACCTGGTTCCACCAAGGCTTATCAAATTCAGCACGATAAAACAGTAAAGAGTGCTCGGGCTGGTGGTCGTTTGTATTTGCTCCGATCCACCTAATTAAGCAAAAGTACATATATAAGCAATTTTTAAATTAGCTAAATGCGATTTGGTTAGAATAAATCCAAATTCACTTACTTGGAAGATATCTAAATTCACTAATCATCTAGAATTGCAGACCTAAAATGTCTCTAAATCCGCTTAGTTGGAAGATAGCTAAGTTCACTAAAATACTATAATTCTAAACCCTAAATTGCATACTAAGTTCACTAAGTTCACTAAAATCTAAATTCACCTAACTAGCTACCATTGCATATCTAAAATAAATTCAACTTAAATTGAACTTACTTGAAACCATATGGGGGATTTGCTACAAATCGTAGCTCATCATCTGGCAACCAGAATTCCCGAGGGTCTCGAGGTGCGAGAAACGGAAGATGCTCCCATGCCCAGAGCTGGAGTATGAACATCGCACCACCAGCTTGTTTCGCTCCCAACTTCGAGCAAGTACACAACTCGCGGTAGATCCCAGCCAAGACGGCCGACCCCCAGCTTCTTTGCCCGATCTCGTCCCAGTCACCGAGGAGCATATTTAACCACATGCCTTGTATCCACCGGTTTGACTTGTCGGGGAACAGAAACCCACCAACCAAGGCAATTAGGTAGACACGTGCATACCGCTCCACCTGATCTTCAGGAGTATCCAGGCCTATATTAACCTCCATCTGGATGTGGTCAACAAGCCACGGGATCGATACTTGCCCCGCATTCAGTGGTGGATGCCCCTGACCTTCGACGGGCGTGGTGGTCGGCATGTTGAACCCCAGACGTTGTTGAATTAATGGCCCCCAACCGTCTTCTGGTTTTCTCGAGCTGTCGATGATGGCATCTCCGGTGATCGGGAGCCCGGTGAGGATGGCAACATCTTTGAGGGTGATCGTCATTTCACCCTCGGGAAAGTGGAAGGTATGCAGCTCAGGGCGCCATCGCTCTGCCATTGCCGTCAGCAGATCGTTGTCAATATCTAGCCTCATAAAGTGCCTCAAATTGTGCAATCCCGCCCTCTCTAGATAGGGATGCAGTCGAGGATGCCAACGGGGCAATCGACATGTACCTCGATGACTGATGGGAATAAGTGATTCCTACAAAACAAAAAACACAATATTGTCAGTCAATAGAAAGCAAAATAAAAACTTAGAAAGCAAAATAAAAACTTTAAAACTATTGAAATAATTTTAGTGTGTCTACCGGATTATTGTTCCAAATTGAACGAGAGCGATGTTGATCTTGCCCGGTTAAATACCTTCGATCCCTTGGGCCAGGATCGATATACAATCTAGGGTCGTATATCTCAGCACCCATCTATAAAAAAATATGAAATCAAATCAATTTAAATTTTAGCACCCATGTAAAAAAAAATCACAAAAGAATTAAATAAATTTACGTACTCTCAAAGCCTCTTCGTCCATTTTTTGCCGAAAAGCTAGCGAGAGTATCGACAAAAAACCAAAACTCTAGTAATTCTTTCTGATGCGGAAGATCGGACTTAGCCGCAACCACAGAGCATACTTAGAACGAAACTAGAGTGAAGTTGGAGGGAGAAAGAAGTATAAAATTTGGTGGTGTGATTTGGAATGAGGGGGGGGAGTGGTATTTATAGGGGCGAAGGGAGGGGAAGGGGACGCTGGAAATTTATGGCGGCCAATCACCGCTTTCCTCGCCTGCAGTGACAACACCGCTCCAGTCAAAGGCGATGATGGGCGGATCGCTGACGTGGCGAGGCGTGAGGCGTCGGATCGTGGAGAAAAACCACAATCCGCGCCTCACCGCATCGAACGGCAGCGGTGAAGGGCGCGGATGGCGCGGATCGCTGACGTGGCGGGGCGGGGCTATCACCGCTTTCGTCTTACGCGGTGAAGTCCCCGCTCCTCGCCACGTCAGCGATCCGCGCCAACTTCACCGTTTTTGATCTCAACGGTGATAAACCTTCACCGTTGTTCTTATCAACGGTCAATCGATCACCGCGTTGGTTGAAGGCGATGATAGCTTCACCGTTTTGGACAAAAACGGTGATAGCATCACTGTTGTTGTTTAAAGCGGTGATACTATCACCGTTTTGGACCAAAACGGTGAACACCATCACTGTCTTGGACAATGACAGTGATGGTGAAACTGCTGTATTTTGGGAAAATTTTTTATAAGTCTTGTATTTGAGGAATTTTTTTTAATAGGTAGGGTATTTTGGGATTTTTTCCGACTTCCAGAGGGTATTGTCATTGTGCTATTATTGGTAAGCCGTTCACCACTTATTATCTAGTAGCTTTCTATATCATGACATTTTCTGCAGCTCTTGTTTTGCTTTGTTTTTCTCTGGTTTGTTTTCTTGTTGGTTCTGTTCATGGAGGGTGCAGTTTCTATGAGGTTCTCTAGTTGTCGGGGATAACTGATCTCTGTTTTGCTCTATTCCTTTCTCTCCCAGGTGCTGTTCATCATGTTGGCCAAGATGCTCTCTACAACTGGTTATGCTGCCAAAGCCAAAAGGAATCCTAATCCTAACAATAATATATGGAGGTTCTTTGCTCGAACCCCCTTAATCCCTCTTTTCCTCCTCCTGTATGCGCAGTCCACGGAAGAATACTTTGGTAAATATATCTGTACAATTATTGACTGAACTGGGCTAGGCCCATTCTTCTTTTTCTTGCAAACTTGGGACACGGAGAAAATTGAACGGACATGGAGAGAATTGAGCCGGAGGATTCTTTTGGAGGACAACAACAGCACTTGAGCGGCACAGAGTAGAAGCTAATTATATGAGCACCAATATTTATGGGGTTAATTCACCACTGCCAATCCGAATAATTATATAGGGTTTGTTAAAAAAATTTAGGCGGCTATTTGGTAGTTTCAAGGCCGAATTCCAAACACCAAAAAAATAAAACCAAAACCAAAAAATAAATACCTCATTAAGCTAATCTTTCAACCCTAAACTTTCATAATTTAGTCATGCCGATACTTGAACGATACTTCAATCATACCATCACACAAATTCATATTTTATTGTCGTCGTGGTACATCAACTGATTCCAGTTATAAAACCGGCATGAATACCAGCGATCAATGCAGTCAAAAGCGGGATTCTACCTAGAAGCGGTTGGGTGACCTAGAAGCGTAAAACTGTAAACTTTTAAGTTTTAAATCTAAGATTTTGACTACATTGGTAAGGGAAAATCATGATTCTACATATAAGCGTTTTATTGACTTAAAAAAGTAAAAGCGTAAGCTTTTAAGTTTTAAAGTGCGATTTTGACTATATTGCCAGCGATACAACCGACATGATAAATTTACAATTTTTAAATAAAATGGCGTTGTTTTAGCAAAATGAAATTAACAAAATAATTTATTTATGATTTATTCCATGAATATGAGATTTAAATGTACCTTAAGGTATTTTTTGGGCTACACAATAGAAAAGGGAGGACAGATGGGGCTTAGCTCAATAATTTTAATCCATACAGGCCATAGAGAACAGAAAAGGGTTTAATTTATGAAGGCCCAACTTCTTCAAAGTATGTAATGCAATTTAAATTTATACTATAATGTTAAAAATACAAGTTTATTTTGTATTATAAAGTAATTTGTACAAAATTGTATATGTGCAAATTGTACCATAATGTTAAAAATTATACGTTCAGTTTGTATCATAAATGAATTTGTACGGAAAGATATAGGTACAAATTAAATTTGCACCATAACAATAAAGTGCAGTTCAGTTTGTACTATAAAGAAATTTGTGTGAAAATGTATAAACGCAACTTGAAATTGACTATAACATTAAATGTATAAGTTCAATTTGTACCATAAAGAATTTTTTTTAAAAGAAAACAACCAATGATATGGTGCACCGTAAAATTCATCTATGTATTTATTAAAATTATTATTAGCTCTATTTCATTGTATCATTTAGGCAATTTAGATTATTGTTAATTTATTAATAGATGAGGTTTATAATTCAACGTGAATAATCACTCCCTTATTGATTTTTAATTAGTCATATTTCATTTGTCCTGATTTAAATTATAAAATTTTCACTAAAAAATCAAATAATTATACTACATAGAATAATATTCATTTTGGGTAGCTTTTATACCGCACTCACAAAAAGGAGTGCATACTATTCACGCAACTCTAAAAATAGTTTAAAGGCGCATGGTTTAAATTCTAATTGATACTATTAGTCTAATTGATATTATTTCAACCCTAACCCTACACCCCAAATTGTAAACCCCAAACCCAAAACTCCTAAATTCTAAATCATTCAAATCAAAGTAAATCTTGAGTGATGTTTTTTAAATTCGTGTATATTGTTGTCCATCATACAAGTAATGATTAAAATCATTTTGACATGAATCGCTTACTTAGAATGCCAATTATGAGGCGAGTGCATATCATACACCCAAAAAAGTGTGCGCACCGAAGATAAAACCTTCGTTTTGACATTTTTTGGAATAAAAATAATATGTTATTCTAGCATCATATGACATCATCTACGATAGCATTCATGAACTATCAGTTCCTCTATAATGGTACCTGATCTATAAGTCAATTCCTCATCATCCCCGCCATCAATTTTTCGCTTGATTGTCATGAAAGTGGGTATCATATATTCATATTGCTGACTAGACTTTGACTAAGATCCCAACCTTCCTAAAGTCACCTTAGAATGATCATGATACTTCCACTTAATTCATGATTTATAAATTGGTAAATTAAATCTGCCTATATAAGAAGAAAACAAAAGACACAGACTTATTGGAGAATAGTCAACCCCTAAAGGTTATTTATTTAGTTTTTAATCTATAAAGTATTAAATTTTGTGTTGATAGCTATATTGTGTATTATCGTTGGGGAAAGAATAAATCTCATAAAATGTTCTTGAGACATATATTCTACTGTATGGAATGTTTAGTGTTTCAAAATACTTTGCTATGAAGGATTAGCTTTCTAAAAAATAGAAAAGAAAAAGAGAAGGAACAAATTACTATAAAGATAAAGGTTTCATTAAAGAAGAAAAATGCACTGTACTTGGTGGAGATGATGATTCTTTGGAGGGTGGAGGAGAAGCGATCACGTGGAATCTAAAATGAAATGTGTAATAATTTGTTACAATGAGGAGCAAATAGTGTAGTCTGATTGAATCTTTAGGACTCAATTTTCTTGCCTTATTTTGTTTTTTTACTTTCAATAAAGACTTTAGCAAAAAATCGGGATGGCATGTTGAAAATTATAAGAGTATGATCTTTCCGATAATTAAATGATTTGAAATTTTGTATGGGATGAAATAAAAACATGTCTTACTTTAAACAATTACTATGTTTATTTATACTATTAACGAAATTTATCCGGCCAACGGACGGGCCCCAATCTAGTGTAGACTTTAATGTATTTGACATTTGTGGGTTCTATAACTTGTGGATTTGGTTTGATATCTCTGATTCCCTCAAGTTTTCCTGGTGGATCATTTTGCTTAATGAATATGTTAATTAAGTTGGCAGACATTGACTGATTAGCTGGGAGGAAATCAGTTGCGAGGACTTGTCAATCTCCCAACTAGTTGTCGGAAAAAGAAACAATATTTTAAGAGCAATGCTCGTTCCACTATCTTCATACTTTGCGGTGTGTTTACTTCCTGCAATGTGGTTGTATGCATCTCGCCATTCTTTACCTTGCTATCATATTATTCGTTGCTCTTTAATGTGTATCACAAAAGCTCACTTCAGCCGGTCACACACACCAAGTCCATCCAAAAGTCTAAGAAGCACTTCGTATTTCAAGTTCTTGCGCCGTCTCCCTCTTAGTTTATGTCCAAGGTTCTTCTGTTTTCTGTTTTAGCCACGGTCCAGTTCTTTTTGGTGAATAGATGATCGTAGCGTCCCATGGCTGGCCATTTCTTGCTACTTTGTGTGTAGTTGAACTCACAACGTCTGCAATTAGAAGAACTACGCTTGGTCATCTTGTATTTGTTTCTCTTCTATCATGAAACCAGTATGTAATTTAAGCCATAATGTTTCCAGGCATAGGCCATATTGTAACACCTGACCGACCATAAGCATAGATTGACCAGCGTCTATTTTTTTGCTGTCCCCGAACCCATGATTTCACTCTGATTTTTGTACGACTTAATCATCGATTTTGTCATTCATTCTATGCTTTCCAAGATTGATCTTCCCTCTTCTCACAGCCACCTATCCTCTTGGGTGACAATCTTGGGCAGTAATGTATCTATCGACCAAACCCTATGGTTCTTTTATTAATTTATTGGTAAGTCCTAACCATGGAACCTTTGCCTTTAAATTCAGCCATTTTCCTCTTTTATCCCGTTTCCCATTCCCGCTAATTCTCGTTATGGCCATGAGAACAAGGGAGGTTAAAGGGTGGATTTGATCATGGAGAGACATCCAATCCACCCTAAGATTTCTAGCCAACAAGAAAAACCAGACATCAAACTCTTACTGTTCCCTTCAATATCCCATTCTTGCCCTTCATAAGATTCCTTATTCCAACAATACATCTGCTTAAATAGACTAAACTAAGCTCAAAATAACCAACAGATGATTTACTGAACTTAATCTTTCTAGTTTAGGATAAATTTTTGGCTTAATTCACCTGTATAATCATAACTTTCGCGTTTTTGACAATAATAACCACTTTTGGAAAAATACACAGTTATAGCCATTCTGTCCAAAGCTTTAACAGTATATTCACAAATGCTGACTAGACAAACGTTTATAGTGATGCAGAGACTTTTCGTCAAACCAACTTCGAGGTGTAATGTTGACCTTTTATTTTAATTATATGAGAAATAAACTAAAAATATAAATATAAAAAGGAAATGAAATGAAAAAATTGGTTAGTCTTCTTTGGCCCCTCTCATCTCTCTTCATCTCCTTCTTCATCTTCTCCTATGGCTGGGCTTCTGCGCAGCCTAGAACCCCACTGTCAAAACCTAGAGAAAAGTCGAAGAGACCAATGTAGAAAAATCCTCGCCGGCCGTCGTAGCGAGTGTGCGGGACTAGCGTTGGCTGGAGGGACAAAAGTACAGAACCCTAGACTAAGGTTCTCTCTCCCTTCTCTCGTCCACCGTCCGAGTTGCAACCGCCGCACAAATTGAAGCTCACTGAATCCATTCAATCGACGACAAAAGCTCACCTCCACCGAAAAGCCTCCGTCGTCTCTCTGGATCTCCTCCTTGACTTAAGGTTACAGATCTGCTACCGCCGCTTCCACTCTCCTTTACCGATAATCCACAGCGTTGCCGAAGAGATCAAGCAACAAGGGGACTGTCAGGCCGGTGGCAACAACAGTCGTTCCTTCTCTTGTCTGTGACCTCTCATATCTTTAATCCCCTCAACAAGGGTTTCGTCTGAAAGCCGGGAGGGAAAGGACCTGTGAAAGAGTCGGGGTTGCCCCCCGGATTAAGCTCCGACGGTCAAGTTAGTGTCGGTTTGTGGAGAGAGTTGAGAGAGTAGATAGAGAGATGAAGTGTAGAGAGATAGTAGAAAGTGGAAAGTGAGGAGGAAGAGAAAAGTCCCCCTCCTTGGTGGGTTTTATACCTTTATATACTCGTGGCGGGTTTAGAGCGTCATACGTTGTCGATTGAACGCGGTATTCCTTAGTCTCTGCGGGGAGCCCCTTAGCAACACCCCCAACAATTGCCCCCCAAGCTGGTGGTGAGTTTTAACTCATCACTAGCTTATATTTTATTTTTTTAAATCTTTGTCGGTAATTTTGGGTGGGGCCTATGTACCCCAGTTGCCCCCCAGCTGGTGGCGCGTTTGAGTGACGCGGTGCCAGCTTCTTGCGTCTTGCCCCCCATTAGGGCCATTAACGCTTTAGGATAGTAAAATATTTTAAAAATTTAATAATGATGGAGGGATAGAGTACTTAGCTTTATATTGGCAGTGG